TGCTCACATTCGATTGAGCACTTCAATTTCACATGTATCACACTAATTTAAGTCTCACACTAATTCGATGTGGACGATTTGGTCGAAGAGTGAAGGGTTGGATTGGCCACTTGATTCGTGTTGTGGGTTTTATGATTGGTCATCTGTCGATTTGGCTATTCTGCTCACATTCGATTGAGCACTTCAATTTCACATGTATCACACTAATTTCAGTCTCACACTAATTCGATGTGGACGATTTAATCGAAGAGTAAATTGGTCACTTGATTCGTGTTGTGATTTGGCTATTAAGCTCTCATTCGATTGAGCACCTCCCTTGAATTTCGAATCGAATTTGAAAATATAGAACGTACGATTTCCCCCGTTTTTGTTGGCTGCTCACGAGAGGCGTACTGTACATTAGGGTTGAGATGCTCTCCCGCTCACTATCGACGCTCTCGCCCAACAATTCGAGTCCGTGCGACAGTCCGACCCAACCGCACAGTCCCACCGCCTCCAAACAATGCTCTAACAATTCCCCCATCAAGCCCTCCTTCCCCCCCCACCAGTCCACCAGCAACAACGCCGCCGCCAGATCCAACTTTGAGATGACGTCGTTCAAGGACGCGCCGCCGCCCCTTCCGTCGGCCAACAGAACGCTGCGAAGTCGCCACTTTAGTTTCAACGAGTACCCCCACGTATCGCCCCCCAAGCTACCATCCTCCTCGTCATCTTTCTACGCCGTGCCGCCATCTCGGTACTATTACTCGTCGGAGGGCAGCGCCGTGGCGAAAAAGCAGTCGCCGCCAGGGCCTGATAAACTCGTACGTCATTTGATCCTTGGTCTACTGACATGGTTTCGAATAGGAACGAACGGTGTACCAGACATAACCGCTACTACGTCGGACACAATAGATAGACACTTAGTACAATACAGTACACACTTTACGTCACTCGGTCACGTGTGGGTGACTGGCATGATGAACGCGGATCTGCAGCATACTCTCGACCTTGCCGCGACAGATGGGGCAGGTGCTTCCAGGGCGTTTCAACTGCTCTGAACAGTCGAGGCAAATGCACATGTGCCTGAATAGATGCATATTAGATTGATTCATGATGCGAGGAAGGATCACGTACCGGCATGGTAAGATGGTCGTGTTGCGAGGCTCGCACATGCAAATGATGCACTCGGACCCTTCCGTGACCCCGGCGGCGTCCGTCGCTGCTGACGGCGCAGGGAGCGCGGCTGTTCCTTCCTTCGCGGCGGTCGCCGCACAGCACGCCGCGCCTTCCATGCCGTAGATCTCCTGCAGCTCGTATGTTTGCCCTTGGACTTCGACCTTTTGCTTGATCACTTGCACCTTGCGTCCATCCGTCGAGAACGTGACAAACGTCGCTTGTTTCTGAGTCTTCGTTGCGGCAGAAGCGTCGCGGATCACTGTGATCTCCACGACGAGAGGAAAGGCGCTGCTTTTTCCGTCGTGCACGAGCTCGGCGGGAGTCCAGTCGGACAAGGTCAACGGAGCCGACACATACGATTGACCCAAGGCCGCGGGATACGCTCCGGCGTTGTTGGCCTGCTCAAGATACTTTTGGCTCGTGAATGTAGAGTTCCCAGCTTCGTCGATGGTTTCAATGGCGTTGAAGTACAACGACACCGTGCACGGCTTCCCCGCATCAAAGAGAAACTCCAACCGGGCGGTGGCGGGGTCCAGAGCGACCAGCTTGAGCGATTGCTTCTTCAAGTTCACGTCATTGCGCACCGTTGTGGTTTCTTGCATCTCCGGGGCAGCTTGGAACACATTGTGGATCTGGTTTTGAATGAACCCCATGTCGGCGCGGCCGCGGTTCATGTACAATGCCTGCATTTGCGCATGGGTGTATTGCGTTGGTGCAACGTTCGCCGACGCCGACGTGCTCGGATCTCCATAAAGAAGCGGCGGTTGATATCCGCCTGCCGTTGATCTCCTCGCCACGGCGCCATTGCCTCCAGCGACGATGCTTCCTGCATTCCCCATGACGATGATGTCGGTTTTCTCGCTTGCATTTATTTTCGTACAACGTCCAGAAATACAGCAAGATCAAATTATATTCAACTCCGACTTGATATTTGTATCCTATTCCAATAAATCACCTCTAGTAATACTAGACGGGATGTTGAAGTGTCGTTAGTAGTACACCTGTCATAGTAGTAGAACAAATTATATTCAACACCGACTTGATATTTGTATCGCATTCCAATAAATCACCTCTAGTAATACTAGGCGGGATCTGTTGAAGTGTCGTTAGTAGTACTAGTATACCTGTAATAGTAGTATTACAGTAACAGTAACTGCATACGTATAATTTGTCCAAATATCTGTATAATTTTGGTCGAATTACAAAAACATGGACACTTGAAAAAGGTGAATGATGTTATCCCTATTGAAGAGTAGTACATATCATAACGATGAAAGGACTGCACATGTTTGCTTGTTAAATGAGGTCGACTTTCTTTGCCTTTTGGAACATCGCGTGCTTTTCAATGCACCACGAACCGACGAGCACAAAGAAGAGCCCGACCCATTCAAAGTAGAAGCAAAAGCCGTAGCGCACGTCCACGCCATCGCCGGCGGACTTGATGCCTTTCACTTGCGACATCAAGCAAAACGTGAGCACACCCGAGGAAATGGCGGCCAACGTGGTCGACACACGGGCAAACGTGATGAGCCACATTTGGTGCTTGCAGCAAAACACCACGAAAACGAGCGCGATGAGCGTGAAAACGGTTAACGCCAGGAAGAGCACCGCCATCGCAATGGACGCCTTGCCGAGGGATCCGCATGTCGACTGGAGGAAGAAGTCAATGTCCACCCACGACGTGCCGGTCATGATGGAGATCTCCTTGGCAGCTTTGTTCGCGCCTTGGTGGGCAAAGTAGTACGAGCAGATCGCCATGTCCGACTTGTGCTCTTGGAAAGACGGAAGATTAGTGTGTCCGATGTAGCGGTACGATCCGCCAGCGCCACCGAAATACGGGTAGCATTCCTTCACTTTGTACTTGTTGGTCTTGTCGCCCTTGAATTGCACGTCAAAGCACATACCGATCAACCCAACGCTCGTTTCGGCGCTCTGAACGATCGTGTCGTGCTGATGCGCCACGCCAACGTTCGTGAACCACATGGGCGTCACAACACAGATGAAGCCGAAGCCCACTGCAATGAGCATCGTAATGATGCCTGATACGCCCCATCCAGACACACCCATCGTCGTTTGCGACCTCGAAAATCAAAGAATGCTGCTCCATGTTGTGTGGACGATCGTATTTCGAAGTAACGTGACATTCCCAAACCAAAGGCAAAATACGAAGTTCGAAGTACTTACAACTCGGCGACAACTTCGAACGACGACGGTCGCCAAATGTAGCGCGATCTTGAGTTGTCGGCCCAGCACTTTTCGGCCGAGAGTTGGCGCGATGGGTTATTGCTACATAGTACTGTACAGTACGTACTACTAGTAGTATACTAGTAACGTTCATGGTAAGATCACTCTTTCACAGTCCATACACAAGTTGATCAGTTGATCGTAGCACCAAAATACACGACTTGGATTGGCCGAAACATTTGTATTTGGGCATTATGATTGGCTGTCATTAATTATTGATTCTTTTAACATTTGTGTACAACTTGACGACAAAGTATAGTGAAATCCAGTCAAAGGTACCCATTCACAGGTCAAATATGTGTAGACCGGAAATTGCTCATCCGGACGACACCATTAACGGTATGTATCATGACGGCGGCATGTTTGCAGTCGTCACAGGAGACTCAAGGGCGCAATGGGCTCCGCACGGAAAGGAGCCTCGTCAATTGCTGTGATGGTGCTGGTCGTGGCCTTTGGTTTCGTGGCCTTGGTCATGCCGTCGTGGGTGACGAACTCTGTCGTGGATGCTGAATGGGAAGGCCGAGTGAAGCGTGTCCAAGGGGACCTCGGTCTGTGGGGCTTGTGCGCAGACGTCGACTTCGACAACGCCAGGGTTCTCATTCCAGGCAAGGATTCTGTGGTGGACTTCAGCATGCGCACGTGCTACTCGTACTTTTGGCCCATCGACAACGAAATCGTGCGCATCGAGACTGTCATCAAGAAAGACGCGTACACAACGAGCATCTGTGACCACTTCCACACGAACGATGACCGCGCGTCCAAGGCACTGGCCATCATGACTGGCATCCCGTCATCTTCCATGAAGGACTTCCTCGACGCGTCGTGCAGCGGCACCGGGAAGGCCGTCGCGGCATTGGTGCTATCTGCGACTCTACTCAACTTGTTGGCGCTGGTGCTCTTGATCGTGGGTGTGTGCTGCTGCCAGACTCGCGCGTCGCTTCCCCTCGTCGCGCGTTACATGGTGAACCTCGGGATTGTCTGCAGCGCCGTCATGTCGTTCCTCATGCTCAGTCCATTGCGCAAGGCCAAGGCCAGTTCGCCACATGTGTCGTACGGCCTTCCATTGTACTTGGAATTCACCGCGTTCTTCGTCGCGTGCTTTGCAGGGTGCGTCATTGAGCGCTTCGAGTGCAGCGTGAAGAAGTCGGCCAACGCCGTCGACACGGACAAGCGCCTCCAAGACAAGATGCGCCACCAACACCTCGTGTCCAAAACCAACCGCACCGATATCGTGTAACTATTAATTAATAAATGCAGCAATGGAGGGTGAAATATTATCTCCCCAGGCCGTTGGAATAATAATATACGTATACAGTGTAATTATAGCACAATTCCTTGGAGTACAGGTCATATATATATACTAGTAGGGATGGGACCGCAACATCTACCGGCTCATGGTGTTTTACGTTTGATTTTAGAGTTAAGTGGACAAGTTATTCCAAACCGCATTTAGGATATATTATACTACGCAGTACATGGAGGAACTGAAAAATTAATTGAATATATATATTCAATTAATTTTTTAATATATATATATATAATTTTATTTACAAGCTTTACCTTATGTTGATAGTACTACATTAGATTATATGTTTATAACATTACGGAGTACCGTTACCGTAGTATAGAGTACTACGTATATAATACTAGTATTTCGTACTATTAAAAAATGCCGTTTCGAGCCGATGATATTGGATCTCGTGACAGTATCCTTGAATGGCCCTATCTTTGGTATATAAAGTCTAGTTAACGATAAGGTTTAAATGAGGTCATGCACGTGGTTGGAGCCTTTGCCGCCGCAGAGGATGTGCTGCTCGATTGCCCACGACAGAATGATCGTCAGGACAAATGCTGCGATTTCCAAGTACAACGAGTACCCGTACGTGGCGTCCGCATATCGCAGCTGCGTGAACTGGCTGAACACCAAAAACGACAGCACAACCGAGAACATGGACGACAAGATCGTGAGAAACCGCGTCATCTGGACCATGCAACTGCGGTTGTCACAGCAACTTACACCAAAGATCAGAATCACGAACGACAGGAACAGGCACAGCGGACTGCCCAGCGTCATGGCCAGCACCGCCTTGCCTGAGTCGGAACACGTCTTGTCCAGGAAGTTCTTCATCGCGTCCTTGCGCAGACCCGCCATGATGCCCAGCGCCCCCGCGGCGCGGTCATTGTCGACGGCGTAGTGGTCGCAGATGCTGACCGTGTACTTGTCAAACTTGAGCTGGCCGTCGAAGCGAGCAATTGTGCGCTCGAGGGGGTTGTAGTACCCGTAGCAGTCGTTGATGTTGTAGTTGAACGCTGTGTTGGTGCCCTTGACCAACGTCGCAGTGTTATCCCACTTGACGTCGAAGCACATGAGCATCACGCCAAACCCAGTGTCAGCACTCTTCACGACGCCGTTGTACGACGCATCCACCGCCGAGTTCGACACCCATTTCGGCGTCAGCAGCGCCGTGAACGCACATGCTAGTGCGAGGAAGTTGAGCGCAATCGCCAGCCCACCGTACCCGCTGCAGCCCATCGCAAAGTATAGTTTTGAAGTGCACCTTATTACACAACTGTCGACCTTCCTTTGCGATTGTCGACCGACGACATAACATTGCCGTCTTAATCAGATCCAAAGAATGAATGTTTTATCTACATTGAACTATGCACACGAATTACGTACGTAGAGCATCTCCAACAGTGTTTTTATTTCTATTTCAATTTGAACTTACGGATATAGAATAGAAACTCTTGCACTATCCGGAGGGTTTGGTACTATTTCACGCGAAAATAGAAATTTTGTACGTTTTGTTTATTAATACTCGGAGTAAAAATCACTGTTAAGACATTTAAACAACGGGCAAATTATGTGAAAAACACAATAGTACTTCGAAGTAATTCTCGTTTTATCGAAGTAATTTACAGCTAATAATAATACAAAATCACTCTTGGCAACATGACATTACAATATTCAGGCCCAAAATGCCGTTTTGGGGCCGAATTCAACAAATCTGATCAAAGATGAATATGTCTTGCTTGAAGAGTTTTAACCCGAACCAAATAATTCCATGTGGGATTTACTCGTTGAGGTGGTCCAAAACGCCAGTTTGTTATCAAGTCGTAAAATCAATTTTCAGACTTTAAACTTCGGATGTGTAATGATGTGTGTAATACTTCGAAGTTCGGTCAAATCGTAAATTTAACGGGAAAATCAATTTCCCAACCGACTTTTAGCGACCAAGTCGAAAAAAGCCCGTGGGTTGGAGTTCAATCAACGATGAAAGCACAAAAGACACAAATATTGTGGACCGACGAGATGGTTGAGAGACATCTCAAGGAGGTTGCCCGGCTTGGCCCGAACGGTGTTGGTCACGGAAAGGCCAATGCAACGTGGGCAAATAGCACTGTGCCCACGGTGCAGTGGCCATTCTGGACGCACCTGCCATACAATATGCGACCCCAATTCTCGATATACTTGATTGGCTATTCGATATGGGTATGCGGTCATGCTGCCTCAGTAGAGTTCAAAGTTTAAATCCGAGTGAGGTTTGCGCAGCTACGTACAGGAAGTACATACTGTACTGTAGCACAGGCCATTGGTCTTTATCCGTTTAATTTCCGGATATTGAAGTACCACGTCTGGTATAATATTTCAAAAATAATATTCCATTTTCTCGCAAAATGGGATTAACCAAAATATGCCATTTTCAAAATGGAGGTAAAAGGTCGTCTATTTTGTAATACGACGTTTTGGACCTCTTCAACGAGTAAATCCCACGTGGAAGTATTCATTGGATTTGGGTTAAACCTCTTCAAGCAAGACATGTTTCAATATTGATCAGATTCGTTGAATTCGGCCCCAAAATGGCGTTTTGGGCCTGAATATTGCAATATTTCCGGTTACCAGACGCACCCTAATATTTTGAAAAGTTACCAGACGGATCCCTATTAATTACTACGTAGTACAATTAACGTTACTAGGCCAATTCACACTATTTCTAACAAGCAAGCGTTAACCGATGGCCCATAACAATTATCCGCTTGCACCGACATCTAACTTAGTATAATAACACCCATACACTTGGTACGTATCATGACTAATTCAATTGCTATTTTTTCCCATCGAAACTAATTAACTGGTTAGGTCGCTCGCCTGTGTCTCTCTATGCGCTCACGACAGTGTCGCAGTTGGACTTGGCGTACTTTTTGGGCGGCTGTAACCGACTGGCCACGCCGCCAGTCGTGTCCTTATCATCTGATTTCCGTTTGACCCCTGTCGATGCCATTGCCTGCACTTGGAACGTCGGAAACGAGTCTTGCGGCAACAAGAGCGGCGTCGATGCCGCGTCCGACTGCAGCGTCTGGTTGAGCTCCGCCACCTCGTGCAACTGGCGCTGCACTTCGTTCACACACGAAACCACATGTCCATCCGCCGCCGCGGCCACCATTTCCAGCTACAACCACCCCCAAACTTGAGTCAAAGCATATCATATCGTAAGACATTCGAGTGTGCTCTCTATCGAACAAGCAGCAGAATCACCACATCGCAGGCAGACAATCGATATATCGACCAATCAAAACCCAGATCACGAATATAGTATCACCCAATATCAAAATCCAGAAAACCAATTCAAGATCCAATTAGTGTATATGTGACTGAATTTAGTGTGATATTCGACGATCGTTACATACAAAAGTCAAGTCAAAGAATATCGATCGACGATAGATTGGGAAATCAGCACAAAAGCCCAAATAGGCCCATATTTTGGGTAAAACGATAGTACCTGGGGAATACTGACCGCGACCGACGTTTCCATGGCCTGTGCGGCACTCTGTAGGACCGACCCCATGTCTTCCTGTCGAGTCGCAAGTGCACGCACTTCTCCACGCACTCGCTCCGAGGAGCTTTGAACCGCTCGGACATTGTCTTGCAAGTGCTGGCGCGCGGCAAGTTCCAGCGCCGCGACGCCCGCCGCCATCGATCCGTCCATCGTGGCATGCCACTCGTCCACTGTGTCTGTCTGGTCTGCCAACGACGTTGCGATTTGTTGCCCATGTTTCTCGGCGCTCTATGCGACACCGTTTCAACGCACGCCGTCGCACAAAAACTCAACGACGAGTTCGAAGTCATGTAGTCGTACCCGCGCAAACCCGTCCACGAGCGCGGACGTCGCGTCGACATGGCACTGGAGCGCCGTGCCTTGCGATATCGTTCCTTTAGACAACGCAGTCACCGCAGATTCGACCGACGTCGTGATACTTTGCAGTCCTATACACCAACAATAATAGGCTCGTTAACAAATATATAGCTGTCGCCTTCAAAGCGATTGGTTTGGCTTTTTCGTACTCGAGACCGCGTCGTCGTGTTGGCTCTGCACGGCCGTGCGTTGGTTGGCAAGGGCCTGTGACACTGTCGACACACACGCGTCCAACTGCACTTGGACCAGCTGTTGGATGATTTGCACTTGGCTTTGCAAGTCCACTTGCGTCGACGTCAGCGCCGCAACGACGCGATCCTTGTCGGCGCCCGCCGCGGCCGCATGGTCTGCCAATGCGCGGGCCACGGACTCCTTGATCGCGTCCAGCCGCTCCACTTGGGCCTGCGACGCCGTTTCCATGTGCTTCGATGTGTGACAGAGTTGGGTCGACAGGTCGGCCGTCAGTTGTTGCGTCTGCGACACAGATCAACACCCCAGAAACAAAGGAGAGCTAGTTCTACGTACCGCCTCTTCAAGACCTTGCAACACGTGTTGAATGTGCTTGGTTTGAGTGGCCACCAGCGGCTCGAGCCGATGGATCTGGGCCATCCATTCGACAGACTGAGCGCGCATGGCGGTGCTCATCGAGTCGGTTTGCTCCCCAAGGGTGGTCTCGTGGCTGTCCATGGCGGCGCCCACGACTTGCAGGGCGTGTTGCATCGTTGTGTGAATCCCCTGCACTTCCGACTGCACTCGGGCCAAGTCCTATGAATATGTACTTGTAAACTGTGTCACATTTTCTGGAAAAGCCAAACAGACTTACGGTCGCAAACTGTGACGTGGCCACGCCCAGCGTGGTCTGAATGTCCACAACGTGCATGCGATGCTGTTCCCGATACGTGTGCAGGGCGGCTTCGAACGCGGCGCAGTGCGCGGCGGCGCCATCGGCAAACCCCGTCGTCGCAGCCGCGTTATGCGTGAGAATGCCATGCTTCCGGTCTACCAATAGATTATTGTCGCATTCTCACAATCGTGCAGGCCACCACCACAAGATACCCCACGCAACTAACTACTAGACGTCCATACATAACCATACAAATCGACTCATCCTACCCCACCACATGACACGATAAAGGATATCTGAGACAGAACAATCCTACACAATCCAGCAATCTATATATATATATATTGTCAAATCCATTCAAAATTGGAGAATCGAATGTCCTAATAAAGAACCGTCTAAGCCAATCAAATCACGTCCTGTCGAATTTCTGCCAATCCAAACGTCGCATGGGGCAACACCACACGCATACTACTCGTTGTATAGTATAGTTTGTACAAGCTTACATGGTAATCACATGAATTCGAATGACAAACAAGTCCAAATTTGGGAGAAATGCACAATATATATATATATATACAGCATATTCAAAACCTACCGAGTTTGGCCTGCAACACTTGAATGTCGTTCACACGGCTGTGATACATTGCCGACGCGACTTGGGCTTGATGTACCAATTGCGTTTCATTGTCTCGAGCTTGGCGCAGTAGGTCACGGGACTCGCGCAGGTCGTCCTGGGCGGCCGCCAGCGCCCCTTCCTTGGCTTCCAACTCATCGGCGATCAGAATCAATCGAGTCTACACATGCCCATCCGCCATTAGCCTGCCTTGCTTCGGTTCTCCAACGAACGTACCTCGGATTGCTGCAGTTTTCCAGCCACGTCGGCGTGCTCCGTCTTGACCGTGTCCAATGCATCTTCGAGCTCGAGAATTTGCTGGCTTTTGCGCTCGAGCTCGTCCTCCAACTCGCCCAGCTGCGTGCCGAGGCCAGTGATTCGCTCCTGCATCTCTGCAAACTGCGACGTCGGCAGGTAGATGCCGTCCTTGTTGCGCGCGGCAATCAGCTGCGACCGCAAAGCGTCGATCTCTTGGCTGTACTCCTTGATCAACACATGTTTGGTCATGCGCTGGTTGGCCTCGGGCTTGTTCTTGATGCTCTTGGCTCGATGTGCATAGTCCAGTGTACTCAGCGTCTCGTCCACGCAGTCACAGCCTAAAGCGCATCTCACCCCACGTGTTGTGTTCCAAAGTAGGCAACGTACCCGGGCCCACGGTGGCGATGATCGTCGTCATGGCCTTGCCGCCCAGCGACTCTTGCAGCAACCGCGTCAGCTTCGAGTCGCGGTACGGCACGTGGGGATGCTTATCCACGAGCGCAGTGATCACTCGCCCCAGCGTCAACAGGCTTTGGTTGATGTTGCCTGCTTCCCGCGCCCGTGCATTTCGCGCGCCGGACCGACCAATGCATTCAGACCCGGCTAGGTCCACCAAATTCAGCGTACCTACCCACAATATGACCTGTTCAGCCGTCGTGTACGACATCGATACATATATATATAATGCATACCGCTACGGAGAATGTCTTCGCCGGCCACATTTGCTTCCTTGCTGTGGATCCGAATCGTGAAAATGCAATGCGACCGACTACTCTGGTCGTTCAAGAGGGTTTCCGCGGTCATGCGGTTCTTCGCCCCCGTTTCCAGCAGTTCGTACACGTGCGATGCCGTCAGTGTCGTCACTTCTTCGAGGTTTTGGCAGTACACGCCGCCACGCTTGATGTCTTCCATCAATCGCAGCGGTTTGTCCTTCCTGTTTTCGCTCAACAAGTCCTTGCATTCTTCGTTGTAGAGTTGCAGGAACGACACGCGGACCTGGAGGTACGTTAGCATCATCACCAATACATAACGAAGACGTGACGTACCGAGTATTCTCGCTTGGTGGCCTGCAGCTTCTCGAAAATATAGTTGACGCTGCGGGGAATGATGCCCGCGTTTTCGTGATTTGGGCTCAACGTCCCTTGGATGGTGTGTGTTTTGCCTGTGCCTGTTTGGCCGTACGCAAACACAGTGCAGTTGAATCCTGACAGTGCTTCGTCAGCCGCGTTCTGCACGGCGCCTTTGAACACGTCCTTTTGCGTCGCATATTGCCCAAACACACGATCAAACGTGTACGTCTTCTTGCGAACTGTGATCTGGTGCGCCTTTGGCTGTGCCGTCACCACGCTTGGTCGCTGGTGTGCTTTCTCTCGTTCATTCATCGGTCGCACGCGGACGGCAACCTGCACATTCTTCTCCATGAGTGCGCCGCCGAAAAGTTTGAAATTTGAATACGGCATCATCCGGAAAGGCGTGGCTTCATTATCCGGTTAGGAACTGCACACTGGCTAAAACTCACGGCACAGGCCAAAACGTTATTTAACGTTAACACTAGCCAAACGGCGCGCCGTTTCGTATCGCAACGTTATTGGCATACTGTAAGGTATGGACTCCAGAGTACAACAAGCTTAACCATCTTGTGGCAAAATAAGATCATCTCCATGAACACGCACGAAAGAGATTGCCAGTAACGTTAACGTCATTTACTTCGTCATCCAAGACTACAATCGTGTTGAACACTAGCAACTTATGGCAAGGGGGTCGGTGGGTACGTAGGGCATTCGCTGATCTGGAGGACGTTACCAACACCTTGGGCAGCACTCGAACCAGCCCCGGAAAAGTCTTGGTCCACCAAACTCAACGCAACCTTGACAGTCGACCCCAGAATTTCGATAGAGGTCGAAAAGCAGGTTGACGCCGTGGACGTACAGAACAAGCCGCACTTGAACGGGGTCGCGCCGAAGCATTGCGGCCAGCACACGGGCCCGTTGCCGACCAAGGTCGGCGCGCAGGGGGGGTAACACATGACACCGCTCTTGTCCTTCCCAGCGGGGCATCCCAATCGCGACACACCCACACCTACTCCGTAAGAGTCCTTGCGGCAAAACGCGCCGTCGTCGTTAGTTCCGGCAGGGCAGTCAGGGGAGCAGATGCAGCACCCAACACGGTGGAAGCCAGGCTGGCAGTGAGGGTACCACATCAATCCGTACTTGTCGCACGTGCCGGCGTTGTTGGCCTTGCACTTGTCCTCTTGCCACAACGCGTAGCCTACGCCGCGCCCGTACGCGGCAGGCTTGGTGCACGACACACCAATGTCCGTCACGCCCTCGACGCCACTGCAGCCTTTCTTGCGGCAAATGCAGCACCCAACCTTCTCGTACCCTTCCTTGCAAGTGGGGTAACACAAGGCCCCGTACGCTTCTTCGCCCATCTCGCATTGGTTTTGAACGAAGGTGCCGGCGCCGCGATTCTCGCCCTTGCGGCGACACGCCATGGGAAGGGGGTCGAAGGGGGCCAGCGCCGCTTGGAGCGCCTGCTGAATCGCGTCGGCCACAAGGGCGCCGTCTTGCAGAGTCATGCCGTCCTTGACAATGTCTTGGATGGTCCCCACGAGGTTGGCGCCATCTTTAAGATGCAAGAAGCCAGCGGCGATCGCTTTTTGGATGTCTTGAACCAGGATCTGGCCGTTGTTCAGGTCCAACCCATCGCGCTGGATGCTTTGGATGAGTTTGACCAAGTTGAGCGTCGTGGTCACGTCATTGCTAGAGTTTTGAATCACCTTTTGAAGGTCGCTGATGAGGTCGGCAGCGGTAGCTGGCTTCATGTCTCGTTGAAGGGCCTTCTTGATGTCGGCCACCGCTTGGGGGCCAGCGAGTTGGCCTTGGGCGACGATGTCCTTGATGTCCTTGACGAGATCTTTGCCTTCTTTGACACGGAGCGCGCCAATTTGGATGGCATTTTGGATGCTCGACACGAACTGCATGCCGTTGTCGACGGTTAGACCTGACATGACAATCGTTTGAATCAACTGCACCAAACTCGTGATGGTTTTGAAGTCCTGCATGCCGTTGCGGACCACCAACTCAAAGTCTTGGACAATGTCGACGAGGCTCGCACTTTCGTCGGCCGACTCGAGGTCGCCGCCCAGGGGAGGACCCGTGGCCACGACTAGGCCATGATCGAACACGACAAAACCAGCGGGCACCGTGTCGTTTTGGGCGACGACGCTGGCAACGGCGGCGAGAACCAACGCGCACACAAGGGTAAACTTCATCTTGAAGAGTGGGGGGCTGAACGCAAATTCAATAATGGACGAGGTGATAGTCTGAGATCATCCGTTGCGTGTAGTACAGCTGTAGCATTGAGTTCCTGCCTCTCTTTCACTGTTGTTCCGTCTGTATATTCACAAATCAGAAGGTGGCCATTGCGCTTGGCTGCACCGTGGGTTCACCATTGTAACGATATGTGTGGTTGGCACAAGCCATGGGTGTCAATCCAATGCCCCACCCACCTGAAGTAACGGATGCACCCTCGTAACGCAGGTTGACACGACAAATGAGTTGATCGCTGCATTGTGCTCCAGGTGCATTTCGACAAGCTTGGGCCAGCGTGTGCCTATTTATCCCACATCAGGAGGTTGGGGTTGTGGCAGTAAGTAGTCCAGAGTACGTGTTCGAGATTGAATTCACCGTGAAATTGTCGTTTTCTGGGCATTATGCAGGTTCTCTCGACCACGCTCCGGAACATGAAACTCTAGGGCTTCTTTACCATCAATTTCCTTTCTCTTTGTATTACAGTTCACCATATGGTTGTTCGACACTACGTAAGCTTATTACTTCGCTTTTGCTGCAAACGGTGCACAAAGGGCAAAAGGCGAGACACTGTTGCAACTTGTGTGTTGTAGGGCTTCTCTGGACAGGGTTTTGGTGCTGTACAGGATACCACTTCAAATGGCACTGTAAGAATCCGGCATTGCATACCTCAACTCATGGTTCAAGAATTGAGCAATTCATTTGCTGTGAAGGAGTGAGTACTTCAAAGCCTCCATACTGGTATCACAACACTTGGACACCACCCCAGAACGACGGATGCGGATAACGTTTGAAACTCCGAAGTTTGACTTGCCAAAGGCTGTCAGCCTGCTACAGTAACTGTACCCACCCCTTCTCGGACCAGAACCAACACACTCGTTGCATCAGCGCGAGCGAACCCATGTGAATATTTCATGTCTTGGGCTTGCGATTGATCCACCTGAGCTGACCAAGCGAAACGCCATACACAGCAGCGCTCTATTCGAAAACCTTCATAGCGATTCAGTCCAAGTCTCAAGAAATATCGTGCACAACGTCAGCTCACATGCCAATTGAACTTTGCGATAATTTACCTTTGAGTTATTTACGTTAGCGAGAACTATCGAAGCTACTATTGATAGTTTCTGCAATATTGCCCGATTATTTGTCATCTTCGTTGCCGTCTTCCTCCTCCCCCTCGATCTCTTCAGCTTGCTTCTTTCGTGCATCGATCTCAATGGCCACTCGGTCGACGTTGGCGATGGCCCCGTCGGCAGTGCTCCGTCGTTGGGTCACAAAGTAGTGCTGCAACGCGGCCGTGGACAAGGGTCGGTCCGGTCCGAGCGCCGCCACCAGGGCGTCGGCAAACGCCAGTGCCCGGTCGCGCGTCTCCCGGGGGTAAAAGGCGAGGAACATGTCGGCCATTTGGTCGGGCGAGGCGTAGGCGAAGGCCACGTGGACGTCCACCCGGCCGTTGCGGATGAGGGCGTCGTCCAGCTGGTCGCGGAAGTTGGTGGTCAGCACCACGAGGTGGCCGTCGTGACCCCCCACGCCGTCGAGGGCGTTGAGGAGGCCAGAGAACGTGAGGGGAGAGTCTTCGACCTTCTTCCGGCGGTTCTTGGTGAACAGGGCGTCAATGTCTTCGAGCACGACGATTGACTTCTTGGGAACCTGCTCTATCGCTGTTTGCAGCGAATCATCCGTCATTTTGGGGTGGGTGGGTTGGAGCAAGTAGATGTTGCGGCCGTAGTGACCCGCCAACGCCTGGATGAGCGACGTCTTGCCCGCACCGGGTACGCCGTGGAACAAGTACGACCGCTTGTACGGTATGCCGTGGGTCGCGTAGAATGCCTTGCTGTCGTCGCCAACAAAGTCGTCGATGTCGGCGATAAGGTCAGCCTTGATGTGCGCAGGCAGCACGACGGACGCGAGGGGGCGCGCCTTGGCCAAGTCGCCTTCGTCCCAGTACTCGCCCCCGATGCTCCACCGGGAGATGGAGAAGTACCCTTGCTTGGTCGCTTCGGCCGCAGCCACGACGGCGTCGATAAACGCTTGCAGAGTCGCCTCCGACTGCACACGAGGGGCAAACAGCACTAGGCTCTCAAATTGAATGGCGTCGCACCCGGTGCCCACCGGATCGCCCTCTTCTTGGCGCAGACAGTGCAGTGTATGCTGCTGCCACGAGAACTTGTGGAGGCCAACGCCAGCCACGAGCTTGTTGTGCGTGTCCTCGTCCTCGTCCAAGTAATTTGACGACGTGACCTTCTTGCCAGCGCTGAAATCGAAACTGCGGTGGTCTTCGTTGCCGCAGAGATGGGCGGCCACATAGGCCAAGATCAACCCGTAGCTCTTGTCCTTGGACGAAACCATGACGAACGTCGAGTTGGCCACATCCACCGAAGTAGACGCGACGACAGACGGGTCGAAGGGATGAAAAGAGCGGGGAATGGCTGCGCTGACCATGGCAAATTGAACAATGAACGAAATGCAAACAAGCGAGCCACGTTATCTGGCGCTGGCATCGAATTTCGAAGTAATCTGATTGACGAATCAACATGGAACGACTTACAACCCAACACGCCCACCATCACTCACAGTTGCATCAATTATTCAACTTCCTCGTTGAGATGCGAAGACAATTGTTGTCATAAGCTATATGTGCCCATACTCCATGTAATACCAACAGTTCTTTATGTGTGTATCACTTCTAAGGACTTTACATTGTCTGTGACGCAATGCAGCAAAAGTCTAACGTGAATTGGGAGTGAAGGTTACAACCTGGTTTAGCTAGAAATTGGAGTGAAGGTTGCTGCCGTTGGGTCGTCTGAATGGACGAATTATCAATGTGTGTGGTGGTGACAGCTTTGAAGTTTGTCCGCGATTTCAAGCGTATTTGTTTCGTCATTGTTCAATTTGCCATGGTCAGCACAGCCATTCCCTGTTCTCTTCTCCCCTTCGACCCGTTGGCCGTGTCCTCTAGTGCAGTGGATGCGGCCAACTCGACTTTCGTTCGGGTCTCGTCGAAAGACAAGAGCTACGCGTTGATCTTGGCGTATGTGGCCACGCACCTGGTCAGCAAGGACGATCATCGGAGCTTTGAAGTCCGCGCTGGCAAAAAGAGTTATGACAGCGACAGTGACAGCGACGACGACGACGACGACAAGACTACTAGCTCCATCGTGGCTGGCTTTGGACTGCACAGATTCACATGGCAGCAGCACACGCTGCACTGCCTACGTCAGTCGCTGGGCACTCCGGTGGGTACACGGGAAGAGGCTGTGCGGCTCGAAAACCTCGTGCTCATGGCCCCACAACTGGGCAATGAACCCATCTTGCGTGCGTTCGTGGACGCAGTCGTGGCTGCGTCCGAAGCCACCACGGACGGGTTCTTCTCCGTCTATCGGTGGAGTCACTACGAGTGGTGCTGGAACAAAGTGCAGAGCTTGCAATCACGGCCCATGGCGACCGTGGTGCTCCCAGCTCTGGTGAAGGAGAGCATCATTGACGACGTCGAGAATTTCGTTACAGACGAATGCAAGGCTTTCTACGAGACCCACGGTATCCCGTACAAGCGAGGGTACCTGTTCCACGGCGTCCCAGGCTCGGGCAAAACGTCGCTCATCCAAGCACTGGCGAGCCATTGCAACCGACACGTGTGCATGCTGCAAATCTCGCATCCGAATTTGAACGACGACTACCTCCAGACAATCATCAGCAGACTTCCACCTCGATCCATCCTCGTGCTCGAAGACATTGACGCGGCATTCACCAAGGATCGCAAGAAGAAGGTCGAGCATTCGTCGTTAACCTTTTCTGGCCTCCTCAACGCCCTCGACGGCGTGGGGGGTCACGACGGCCACCTCGTGGTGCTGACCACCAACTTCCGCGATCAGCTGGACGACGCCCTCATCCGCAACGGCCGGGTGGACGTCCACGTGGCCTTCGCCTACGCCTCGCCCGACCAAATGGCCGACATGTTCCTCGCCTTTTACCCCCGGGAGACG